ATGATGGTGATAATGATGGTGGTGATGATGATAATGATATACATGATGATGATACATGATGATGATACATGATGATGATGATACATGATGATTGTGATGACGATGATGACACATGATGGTGATGATACTGTAGATGATGATGATGCATGATGATGATACATGATGATTGTGATGACGATGATGACACATGATGATGATGATACATGATGATGATGTAGTTGCTGCTGGATAATCTATACCCGGTAATAATCAGTAATGATATTAATGATCCCTTCACTTGTCTATGCGTAGAAGAAGCACTAAGTAAGGAACATGCTCGTAAAGATGGCAGTCGATCCATATCAGATACCACAGAATCACAAGCTCATGTCATATGTAATGACCTTGTAATCAATCCAATGGCGGTGCTAACTAAACAAAATGGCAACGGTTACCGTCTCAATGTGCCCGAAAAGTAAGTATAATCTATCAAGGAGCAAGTGTAGGTTGGTTGGTTAGTATGATTTCTACTAAACTATAGGGCCATAGTTTGATCCTCAGCGACCTCACACACTTGTTTTAAGGAGCAAGTGTGGCTTGGTTGGTTAGTGTGCTGCCTGCTAAGCAAGAGGTCCATAGTTTGATCCTCAGTGACCTCACACACTTGTTTGTAGTGTTGCTTGGATGGTTAGTGTACTGCCTGCTAAGCAAGAGGTCCATAGTTTGATCCTCAGTGACCTCACACACTTGTTTGTAGTGTTGCTTGGTTGGTCAGTGTGCTGTCTGCTAAGCAAGAGGTCTATAGTTTGATCCTCAGTGACCTCACACACTTGTTTGAAGGAGCAAGTGTGGCTTGGTTGGTTAGTGTACTGCGTGCTAAGCAAGAGGTCCATAGTTTGATCCTCAGTGACCTCACACACTTGTTTGTAGTGTTGCTTGGATGGTTAGTGTACTGCCTGCTAAGTAAGAGGTCTATAGTTTGATCCTCAGTGACCAAACACACTTGTTTTAAGGAGCAAGTGTGGTTTAAATTTGGTAGCAGCTGCTGATGTTGGAGTATTCTTCTTCTTCTTCTTCTTCTTCTTCTTAATATTATTATTCTTGTTACAGGAAAAGTTGTCTAGATACGCTTGCAATACAAGAAGTAAGGTTTCGTTTCTTCATCCGTAAGACTGTCAAGTCTCAATGGTTCTACTGGGCTGTACTCATCTGTGTCTTTCTTAACACTGTTTCCTTGGCAACAGAGCATTATGGTCAACCGCAATGGCTTGATCATTTTCAAGGTAATATTTTCCCATCCACTTCCCATCCACTTCCCATTTATTTGTTTTTTACTTTTCTTTCCCATTTCTTCTGTCTTTTCTTCTGTTTCTTTCCAAAGACGAGTGTCTAATGAACAGGCTCTTTTAGATAAGATCAAAAAAGATTTAAAACAGAACCTTTTACCTTTAGTTCTTATTCTTCTAATCCATTTTATTTATTCTTTCGCTGTCATATCATTATTTGTTCTTTCAAATTTAAAGTTGACTATTACACTTTTTTATATCCCCCCTCCCCTCCCTCCATTTATTTTCCATATTTTAATTTGTTCTTCTTATTTCCAGAATGGGCTGAAGCAGTCTTCTTAGTAATTTTTACATTAGAAATGGTTTTAAAGATGTACTCACTTGGAATACGAATCTATTTTAGTTCAAGTTTTAACATTTTTGATTGCGTAGTAAGTATAGATTATATTTTTATTGTGCTTATCCTCATTCATCCATCCTTCTGTCTGATCGTCCGAATGAGCGACCATCCGACCGACCGACTGACCAACTTTCCTCCTTCCTTCCTTCCTAACTCCTTTTCTTCCTTCCTCCTTTCTTCCTCAAATTCTCATTCTCATTCTCATCCTGTCATCCTTCCTTCCTCTAATTCTGACTTCCTTTTTCCCTTACTCCCTCTCTTTCTTTCTGCAGTCAGCTCTCGCCTTGCGGACACCCTGATATTACCGGACACCTCGCTATTGGGGATTGGAGAAAAATCCCCGGCAAAAATATCGACAAAGAAATGACCGTAATTAATTCTCGCTATTACGGACGCCAAGTGACGGTCCCAAGGGTGTCAGCTGTAACGAGAGATGACTGTACATTATCCCGTTCTCATTCTATTCTTTCCTTTCTTTTCTTTTTCATACCGCTTTACCCCTTTCCTCACCCTTCCTCTCCTTTCCTTCTCCCCTTTCCCCCTATTTTCTCCCGTTTTCTCTTCATCTCCATCATCTCCATATACTGATGAGACATCTATTCTTTTTCTTCCACAGGTAGTGTGTTCTGGTATAATCGAAGCTATACTAGCAGGACTTTTACCTTTTCACTTAAATCTCGGTATAAGCGTTCTCCGGTGTATAAGACTGTTACGAGTGTTCAAAGTCACGAGGTAAGCTGCCTGTGTGAAATCAGATTCTTTGTTTTAGTATATTAATTACCTATTCCGAGATTAAGGGGAAAGCTGGGTCGAGTGGGCATTGCAGTGCATTGTGGGACTGTTTTAGGGAACGGAATAAACGCCATCTYGAAAATATGGCCCTTAAAAAGCCCTAAATTGCACTGTAATGCTAACTGCACCCAGGTTTTCCTTCAACCTTTTAATGGCTAATTACCAACACATACCCTGATTATTTGGTCTCTACAGGCATTGGACGTCATTGCGTAACCTAGCAACATCACTGGTCAGCAGTATCAAGTCAATCATGAGTCTGATATTTCTTCTCTTCTTGTTCATCTTGATCGCTGCTTTACTTGGAATGCAGTTCTTTGGAGGAAGGTACGTAGAACGTGTTGCTATATAGGTGTCATACTTAGACTCGCTTTTTGTTTCTCACTTATGAGGGTAATTCTTCGCGTTCTCCGGTTTTCATGCGAGGTGAGTGTCGTATGTTATAAATATTCAGGGGCGGCAAAACCGGGGGGACCGGCCGGGGGGGGGGGGGCAAGTGCCCCCCACGAAAATTCGGTTCACATGAAATATAAATGCTTAGATTCGATAGTTTTACGGCGCATGCGTCTGCAATAAAAACAAAAACAAAAAATTAAATTAAAAACAAAAAACAAAAAAACAGCGGTCATTACCACATAGCGTTAAATATAATATTTCAGTGCCCCCCCCCCCCCCAAAATTTTCAGCTTCCGCCGCCCCTGATATTGAGTGTAGTGGTAGTGCATGTGGAGGGAACCTCACGGAAGAGCCCTGTAAGGGGGGGGGGGGGATGAGTGGTGGTTTGTAAAACATAAGTGTTTTTTTCCCTACCTGGGTTTCTATGTCGTGGAGCACGAACATCTGTAGAACCCAGGGTACGGTTTTCCCCCCTCCGCAAAAAAAAACGAGACCTCCAAATTCCAATTTCCAATTCAGTATTGGTACGAGGGTCACTGTCTTGTTCGCTAATACGTTGCTATTGATTTTTTACTAAGTGTGATGTGATCACGTGAGAAATTAAATTCTGATCGTGCGCAGCCAATCAAAAAGCAAGAAAGCATAAGGCCAGCCAATCAAGCATTTCTTCAGTAATCTAACATATTTCTGTTATCACAGGTTTCGATTTACGAAGACTCCGAGAACCAATTTCGACAACTTTCCGAACGCTATGCTGACAGTGTTCCAGGTAAATTTCTTTCTAAAAAGAAGCAAAAAAAGCAAACATTGAATTAGATAAAACAAGAAAGGGGCTGTGTTATCATTTCTAGTTTAGTTAAAGCAAAAGACTTTCACTTTCCCAAATTCGCAACAAGTGACAACAATGGTTTCAAGTCGAGTTGGAGCCGGTTTCGTGGTCACTTGGCTCTGGCCTGGAGCTGGAAATCTAGCTATTACTCTCTGCGTGATCCATGTAAACGAAATATCATTCAATCACATTCTATTCCCATTCATTTCCCTTTAGTTCCACTTTATTATCATTCATTCCCATTCAATCCCATTCATACCCATTTAATTCAACTATATAATCCCATTCAATCCCATTCAATCCCATTTTATTACCATTCAATCCCATTCAATCCCATTCAATCTCATTTTATTCTTTGTTTTATTTAGATCTTGACCGGAGAGGACTGGAACGCAGTCATGAATAACGGCATCATCGCGTATGGTGGACCTCACAGTGTCCAAGGGGTTGCAGTCAGCTTGTACTTCGTCCTGTTAGTTATTGTTGGCAATTGTATCCTTTATTTCATTTGAAACTCAAGGAAAATTGGAGAGCTACCGACCTCTCTAATACCCAGGGCCGAGAAGCAATGGAGCAAGCTAAATCGCATAAATCCGGTGTACATCCCTCGCTGAAGTGCAGTACTTTTCTCTCTCAAATATCATTCCCTTGAGTAACATTTCTTTATCTCCCAAGTATAAAACGTTCATACCCAACTCCTTCTAAAGTACGTTTTCCTCTGTGAAAGGAAATATAATTCCCTTGTTGTTTATACCAGCTTCCCTACATAAGTTCCTCCAAATCATTTGTTCAAGTCAATCACGTTGGCTATGACGTCTCATGTTCCCCATATACTGCGCGCGTAAAAATGGCACATAAAAACAGACACATTGAGCCTTAACTTTATCAAGACACTCTTCTCAACGTTTTCTTGGCTATTGCTGTTGACAACTTGGCGAACGCCCAAATCCTGACAGAAGATGAAGAAAACGAGAAGAAAGAAAGAGAAAGAAAGAAATCTGAAGCCCGGGAGAAATTTTCTATCAGGCCTGATAATAATAAAGAAATGAGACAAAGCCACTGGAAGAAGACAAAGTCTATTCCTATGTTGATGGCGTTCAAGAAACTTGGACGCAATAAAGAGACTGAAGAAGACTTGTCGGAGACTGAATTCGGAGCAAGGTAAGCTAGAAACTCTCTATTTCAATACACTCGTTGAAACAGTTGAAAGAAAATATCTTGTTCGTTCGGATGTTCGTTCGTTCGTTTGTTCGTTGGTTGGTTGGTTGGTCGGTCGGTCGGTCGGTCGGTCGGTCGGTCGGTCGGTTCGTTCGTTCGTTTGTTCGTTCGTTCGTTCTCGTTCGTTCGTTCGTTCGTTTTTTATTTATCTTTTCATTTTGGGCACAAGTTGATTGAACAACAAAAAGAACAGGAATGTATTTCAGTCCTTATTTAACATTTTCTTTATTTTCCAACAGAGCAAGAGATAGACGATGGTCTCAGGTGAGAGTAAAATGATCTCTGCATTGACGTGCAACGAAGCAAATTTACCTAGCGCTGGGTGTTAGAACGAGTAGAATTTTGCGCATCAACGTTGCGCAACGTGTTGCGCGATTCTGTTTGGAAGTATTATTGGGCTTCTAGGACGCAAATATTTTAAAAGAAACCAATCAAAAAAAATTTTTTTTTACTCACAGAACTTAGGGAAGAATATAGCAGCGTTTCGTCGCGAGGATAGCTTATACACTAACAAGACCAACGGTCAACTCAAGGAAGGGGATGGAAGTGCTTCAGATGATAGCCAAAGACCAGGAAAAATTAAAAGAAAAACAAGAGAGAGAGGACGACGAATGGCAAGATCGAGAGCTACRTCTGACGCTGAAACAGAAAAAAAGGATGGTGGCAATGAAGAAGGTGCTTAGTTACGGAAGCCATTTATGTGTCAAAACCTTGAATCACGCACGCTATCCAATTGCAGTGCTTAGATAACGAAGCCATTCATGTGTCAGTCCATCAATCACGCACGCTATCCAATCACAGTGCTTAGATACCGAAGTCATTTATGTGTTAGTCCATCAATCACGCACGCTATCCAACCACAGTGTTTAGATATGAAAACCATTTACTCAGACGTCAAATTATTTTTCCAGATGAAGATGAACCCGTCACTGCGAAGAATTTCATGAATGTGTTGAGGACCGGTCGCCTTGGAAACCGAAGAAGAAGAGGACGCAAAGACGTGCCAATCATTCGAACGAAGGCATTGTTTGTATTTGGCCCAGATAACGGGTAAGATAAAAAAACAAACGCTATTCATATTAACTAAAATCTTCTTAAAAAATGACAGCAATGAAACAGCATAGCACTAGTAAACGAAGAGTAAACGAAGGAAAGGGATAAATGAGAATGAACGAATGAATAAATAGATGAACTGTTATATATCTTTTGTTCAGGTTACGTAAGTTGTGCCACCGTATCGTCAATCTGTCTCACTTCGATACTGCCATGCTCGTTGTCATCGTCTTCAGCAGTTTAGTCATTGCAATCGAGGATCCTGTTCATGATAAAGACCCAAGAAACCAGGTAGGAATGCTTATAGCAGTCTTTTTTATCCCACTTGGTGACGTCCACACTTTGACCATCACAATCACGCACCTGTCACGGTATCCGTCACAATCACCCACTTGTCACGGTATCCGTCACCTTCACGTACTTGTTACGGTGTCCGTCATAATCACCCACTTGTCACGGTATCCGTCACATTCACGTACTTGTCACAGTATCCGTCACATACACGTACTTGTCACGGTATCCGTCTCATTCACGTACTTGTTACGGTGTCCGTCTTAATCACCCACTTGTCACGGTATCCGTCACATTCACGTACTTGTCACGGTATTCGTCACAATCACGCACTTTTCACGGTATCCGTCACATTCACGTACTTGTCACGGTATCCGTCACAATCACGCACTTGTCACGGCATCCGTCACATTCACGTACTTGTCACGGTATCCGTCACAATCACGTACTTGTCACGGTATCCGTCACAATCACCCACTTGTCACGGTATCCGTCACAATCACACACTTGTCACGGTATCCGTCACAATCACACACTTGTCACGGTATCCGTCACAATCACGTACTTGTCACGGTATCCGTCACAATCACCCACTTGTCACGGTATCCGTCACATTCACGTACTTGTCACGGTGTCCAACCATCAATTGATGATGTCGTTATGTTATTTTTTCTCAGGTTCTCTGGTACTTCGACTGTGTTTTTACAGCTATTTTTGCATTCGAAGTCGTCGTCAAGGTGATTAGAGCAGATTTAGGGGGGGGGGGGTACGTTGAGCGTAGACACTCCATCCATCCCAGCCGAAAGTCTTAGGTTCTTCGGCACCCTATTCGACCTGCCCTGGATGGTGTTCGGGGCTAGTAATGATTGACATGAATGAATAATGAGTTAGCACGTGTTTTTAGGTCATCGACATGGGTCTTATTCTACACAAAGGTGCATATCTACGCAGCATATGGAATATTATTGATGGTGTGGTAGTGATGTGTAACATAGCGTCTCTTGTTTTTGCGTAAGTGTTTCTGCCTTTCATGGCCCTTTCAAACGTCGGCAGTCATGTTAGTTTGAACAATAGGTTCCACCACGTAGCCTCGCATTCGAGCATGAGAATTAATTTATGCGGGCGAACAAAGGAGTTTTTATTCTCATGAGAATTAACATGGCCGCCGCGTGATAAAGGCCCATTCTAATAATAAATCTCAATCAATCAATCAATTAATCAATCAATCAAAGTAAAATCAATAAAAAAATTTTCAAAAAATTATTAACACTTTTTAAAAAATTTCAAAAAAAGGAAAAAAATCTCAACCCGGGAAAATTTTGTTTTAACCCCAAGTTTGGAAATAGGTCCTGAATAACGAGTTATTATGGATGCATGCAAATGAGATGCAAATGAGACAACGGGCACTTTGTTTAACCGATAACCTCAGTTGTGTGATTCTTAAAACAAAAGAAAATCTCATTGCGGGCTCAACTGTAATAACAGCTATTCAACTAAAGTTCTCTTGGAGAAGGCTCTGCTGGATGGCAAMCAAACTTTAAAATGCTTCGTATCTTGAAATCGAAAGCAAAGGAAAAACTATATATGACTTGAGTAATCTAGCAAAAGTTCTCCTAAATAAAAAAAGTCAGAATTTCGCTGCCATCCAGTGACAGTCACGTGATTACGTCCTGCAAATGGCCCACCCCGCAAGGGGAATTTTGATATCACAGGATATATGCCCTCTTTTATTAGTTTTAGCATTTGAATATTCTATTCCGACGTCGTTCTTTTCAGGAAAGTCGAAAATAATGATCGAGATGGCAGGACGGCTATTCGAGCCTTACGTGTCATGCGTGTGTTGAGACCGTTTAAAAGTGTTCACAAGATCAAGAAACTACAGGTAGAATGTATGTGTGTTTGTGTTTGGGGAGGGGAGGGTCGAGGAGAAATGACTGTACAGGTTATTGGGTAGATAAAGCTTTTAGGTTAAGGAACCCCCCCCCCCCCCTCCGGAAGCTTTTTTGTTCCATAGCTCCCTTACACTTTATTTCCAGTACTCATATGTGTAATGTTCAGGGGGGGTGGGGTGTGAAGCACAAGATTCAGGGATATCCGGTTTATATCCGGCTTTCCCCCTCCCCTTACAAGCATTTTTCGTAACAGACATGTGGTTGAGCATCCTGGGATAGGGGAGGGGGAGGGGGTTGGGGTTAAGGTTTAGGGTGGGTTAATTGGAAGCATTTTTTCGTGATATATTTTACTTGATGTTGTACAGGCTGTTTTTCGATGCATGTGGTTCTCCGTCAAGAACGTAGCCAACATCCTCATGATCACCATGCTGTTCTTGTTTATTTTCGCTGTCATGGGTGTACAGTTATTCAATGGGAAGTTCTTCTACTGCACCGATGAAGCTAAGCTGACCAAAAACGAGTGCAAGTATGTAAAACAAAAAATCGTATGACTTTCAATGCGAAAGCCGGATTGCGTGCAGAAAACTCGCACAGTATTCGACGTCGTTGATTTTAGAGCCAAATCGCTTGTATTTTTCACACAACAGCGAAAATTTTTTGCGCAACAAGATGCGCAAACAAAATAATGCAATCAACATCATTCTGCAAAAAAAACTAGCTTGGGCGTAATGTTTTCCTGTTTGAGACCACGTTTCATTTTCTTGAGAATTAGATTCTTGGTTTGAGTCTCATTAATACTCGTGGATTGTTTCTTGCGCGACCGGTAAACAAATAAATAAATCTTAAGGAAATGACGCGTAGTCTTAAATAGGGAAAAAAACCTGCCCAATGAAATCTTCCAATTTATAGCGCCTCGACATCACGCCACTGAAATATATTCAATTGTTCAATTCTTTTTTTCAGAGGCAATTTTTTTCAATATATCTATGACGACGAGGGGAAACAGAAGATGGATCCAGTGGTAAGCTACATTTCACGAGCAATTTTTATAATAGTATTGCGTTACATTCTATTATTAATTATACAGCTTCTCATTAATCCCATATAAATAACTGTCCAATTATTTTCTTAATTGGACAGGTCTTGTTGATATGGGATTAATTAGGCAGCTATATAATTAATAGGTAATGGGATTTCATGCTCCCCAATCAAGAAATAATTAGACTCGAACAATTCCTTTAACTGCCAAATTGGATTCGGCCTACGGCCTCATCCAATTTTAGAAGTCCTCAGAATTTTCCTCGTCCAAGTATTTCTTAATTGGACAGCATGGAGTCCTATTACATATACTAATTAATATCGCGCGGTATAGCTGCTAGGGCGTGCCCCTATGGTGATATATTCGGTTAGCTAGACATAAACAGAGAAAGATCTAGGGATCTTGTGGAGGGAGAGGTGGGATAATTACGTAAACAGCACTGCACGTCTCGAACGTAGGAGCAAACGATGCCACCTACATTCTGTTACGAATACTTATATTCGAGACATTTCTGGGCAGGATGAGGGGAAAGGTATGCACAGGTACCCCAGTACACTTCACTGCGTTTCCAGGATGCGTGACAGCCGATTATTTTGTTCATATTTATCCTCACTACCATTACAATGGGTTAACTATTTGCCCTCCTCGATTGTCAGGTCAATCCAAGAGAATGGAAAAAACGGACACTAAACTTTGATACCGTCTACGACGCCATGTTAACGCTCTACACTTCATCGACGGGGGAAGGTTGGCCAACGTAAGTTAGACTTTGTTATCTGAAGCGAAACAAAAACATCCAACTCCCCCTACCCCCTGTCAGGAAGGGATGTAGGCCACTAATTACGTTTATTTGCCTGGGTGATATTTTTACCTGACAACTATGTAGACAAGGAATTGGGTCGTCCAACATCCCTACGTTTAACTGAAATTTGCCGCGAAAGCGAGCCTTGAGCAGCAGCAATGAATCCGAAGAGTTTTAAAACACTTCTTCATCTTTTCTTGCAGAGCAATGCATCGTACGATGGATACCACAGAGAAAGACAAAGGTCCAGTGCAGGACTACAACACCGCATATGCCATTTACTATGTCAGCTTCGTAGTCGTGTTTTCGTTTTTCTTTCTGAATATTTTCGTTGCTCTCATCATTTTAACTTTTCAAGACCTCGGAGAGAAGGAGATATCGAACTGTGAGCTGGATAGGAATCAGGTGGGTAGATATTTAGACAGGAAGACAGACATAAGTATATAAGTAAATGGATGCACGGACGGACGGACGGACGGACGGACAGACGGACGAACGCGGGACGAATGGACGGACGGACAGACAAACAAACAGATAACAGGGATACATCTATCCAGACAGACAGACAAACAGACAGACAGACA